TGTCAATTGTTTGATACCTTTAATATCGGTGAACATTCTGTGCAATTTGGACGTAAACTCGTAACCGCACGCCTGTTTCAATTTGTTGATCATCGACTCTTCGGCGTCCATCGACACCGACTGCGAGTGTATCAGTCGTTTGGCCAACATTTTTGCGTAAAACTTTTGAAACACGTCTTTGTCGTCAATGTATTTAAATATTGTGATACAAGCGCTCAGTTTGTCGTCAATCTCGGACTCGTTATTGCCTTTTGTTGTAAAAAACTTGTTAACAAATTATGGACTAATATTTACACTATAATTAAAATTCATATAACGTTTAATAAAGTGTTGCAAACCTTTGACAGTCTTTTTAAGCAAACCATCGCAATAACGGGCCAACAGTTCTGGTGAACGACAGGGAAGCTTAAGGCTGAGCCTATGGTTTATAACGGCAGCGCATGCCTTGTCTAAGGCACCGATGAATGACTGGTCACCGTTGAACACCTCTTTGATTAGACTCAGGTGTTGTTTATGCACTTGAAGTAAGTTCTCGACAAACAGTTGCGGTACGTTATCGTCGCGCGTACTCAACGTCGATATGGCCTCCAATCCCTTGCGAGTGATGTGATCCTAATGTTGACCACAAATTCAAATTAATTTGCATCAAAATTATAGATCAATTCATATGCAAATGAAAACACAATTGTACCTGAATTTCAGTGACGAGCACTTGTAGTCCAGAATCGATAGGTTTAAGCAATCGATACATATTCTGGAGATCCTTTCGGGCCTCGTTGTGGACCATTGACTGACACTCAGACTGCAGAAACGTCAAGTGGTCGCCAACCATACGGGCTTCGCATTCGGAGGTCACCCGTGGGTACGACGACGAGTGCAAAAAACTCCTGGACCTGAGATTCTCGGCGTCCAATTTGGTCAACACTTTCTCCATATATGAGGAACAGTCGCACGAAGTGAGCAATTCGTCCGCTTCTCGCTTATAGTACTCTCCCGTCGACCGAAGGAATCGGCTCTCAAACAGATTCTGGTATAAGTCGAGCGAACCCTTCTTCTTGTACTCCTCCACGTGAACCAGCGATAGGATAACGCCCTGAACTACAGACTTGTTCTGCGATAAACCCATGCGATCACTGATACA